GAGAGAGAGAGAGAGAGAGAGAGAGAGAGAGAGAGAGAGGAGGCAGTATGAGATATGGCAAGAAAAGAGAGAAAGCGGGGAGCCGTGGGGGGGAAAGCAGAGAGAGTGCGCAACTGTGCGTATGAAAATTTATAAATATGTGAGATTTAAGAGACGACTGGGTGACGGAGAGTTGAGGAAGGAGAGAAAGCGTTGGCAGGAAAAGGAGGAAAAGGAGGAAGGGTCGGAGAGCAGAGGGAGGAGGACGAGGTTTGACTGAGGCCGACTGTCCAGTGTGTTCTTGTTATGTGCTACGTGGCCCTGTTGCCTGCGTTTTGTGTGTCCGTTTGTGTGTGTGTCAGTGTGTGTGGCGTCTTGTGTGTTTTTGTATAATGGCAGCACACATTCCACGGCAACAGTGAAACACATGCTCGCGTGTCTTGTGTGCTCTTCTGCTATATAAATACAAAACAAAAACAATGAATAAAAACAAACAACAAAAATCATATTTGCAACCAAACACCAGCCACCTCATGATTCACACCTTCTTCCCTTTTATACATTTGACACATCATTTAACTCAAGTAATTTTTTTTTGTTTTGTTTTTAAATTGTACACTAAGAGCAGTCCCCCTCAGTCCTCCTTCCTTTTCCACCACTCCACCAAGAGTCTCTCTTTCTGTCTCTTTCACTTTCTGTCTTTCCTCGCCCTCTCTTCTCCTTTCACTGAGAACTGGCTCTCTCCAGCACGCGCAGGTCATAGTTCTTTTTGGCGGCCCTCAGTTTGAAGAGGCTGGCCCCGCTGTTGTTAAGTTTGAAGGAAGCACTCTGGGCAGCCATGGTGCTGGGGAACACTGCCACTACTGTGTAGAGGTGAGCCGGGTCGTTGCTGTCGCCCTTCGCTCCCCCAGCTCCCACGCTGGCCCCGAGCCCAGCGGTGGCTCCCGGCCCAGAAGGCCCTGCACCAGGACAGGGGCCGCAGCCTCCTCCTCGCCCTCCCTGGGGCTCCTTCAGCCACTGGATCTTGGCACCGCACATCGACAGCTGGTTGAAGAGCTTTTCAGCCTCTGGACGTGAAATCCCCTCTGGCAGGTCCGTTACCTCGAGTACTCGACTCACCACTGGGCAGAGAAGACACGAGGAGACAGACAGATGTTAGCAGGCTTGATTGCTCAGACTCTACCTTAACAGACTCGAAGCACCTGTCGGAGACATGCTACGTGTGTTTGCTCAACTGTTTCAGCTAAGGACTTTTTGTAATGTGCAGTGCTTTGGGGAATTATGGTGTGCACAGCTCTGAGGCTGGCACGATTCTCCAAATGAAATTCAATTTGGCGTATTTTCAACAGCTGTAGAGCTGCACTTGGATGCAGTGCTGCGGGCACATGTCAGTGCACACTGAGCAACTTTAAAGGGACCTTTTATGTTCTTTTTCAGGTTCACACTTAGTGCGTAGTTTGGGTTCCTATTAGAACAGGTTTATATGCTTTAAAGGCTGAGTGTGCATGGAATATAATATTCATAACAATGTTTTCCTTAGTGTATGACCACCTGAAAATATGAACCATTAGCCCCTGTTGCACTGCCTGTTCAGGACAGGAATTTCATGCTGTTATACCACTTTGCTGTTCTGTATAAAAGGTAAAACTGTGGCATGGAGGGACAGAGTTGTCTTTTTATGTCGGCCACCATAGTTTTCCCACACACTTGGCACACAGGAAACGTTTCAGTTAGGTGCACTCTCCAACCTCACCTGCTACATGCCCCTAAATCCTACAAACTTCACCTTTATTTTCCTCATACTGTCTGTACTGGAACACCTGTATTAACTCTGTCTGAAATGCTCCATTTTGGCACACCTATCTGCTCTGATTGGTTGTTTCTGGGTTGTTGCTTACAGGGATTACTTTTACATATGTTTACCTTTGGCATCTGACATTGTAACATTATATATATGTCAGAAAATTAGGAAAATCCTATCAGGTCCCCTTCAAGTTTTATTCAATGACATCCACACCAGATGGAGAAGGTTTTGAAGAAAACAATCAAAGCAAACAAGCAACAGGTTGATCTGATCACTCAGCCTGCTCAGATTGGAACAGAGAGAACCTCTTAAATACAAGATCACATGAGAGTATACGAACACCTGCAGAAAAATGTAGTAACACTGGTAGATGATATTCTGGTGTGTGATGATCTGTTTCTAACTTACCAACATCAGTGGTGCCGAGATCTGTTGATGCAGATTTGAGTGTTTGTTTCTTCCCTCGTGCCCCGTGTTTCATTACTCCTTGGCCCTGGACACACAACAGAGATATATTATGAAGCTTATTATTACCATGTAATTCCATTACAAAACACTAGATGGTACTAAAAGCAATCAGTTGCTTTGTTACCTCTTGGTTACACTACATAATGCAGAAAAAGATTTCAAACAACTTCCACACTGTCAGCTTTTTTTATTATAGTGACTTAAGAAAGTTGTGAGTGTACAACAACCTAAAAAATACGGATCTTCATTCACAGAATCAAGATATTCTGTGGTGACTAGCTGGTCAGTAAAAGATGAAAACTGAAATTTTCATCTGTGTTACGCTAGTCTCGCCACCAGACAATCAGAGATCTCTGCCTTCTGATAGTCTGGGGACACTCCTTTCTAAAGTGTGTTTAACACACCGGCGAAAACGGCCG